TTTTTATTTCTCTCTGCGCTCATTGTGTGAAGTAGAGCATGAGTAAAAGGGATGCTTCAGTGACTCTCAGTCAGAGTAGAATGCACTTTGGGGAGATGAAACATTCATTCTGGTAGCCCTTTAGAGCCGTCCACCGCAACAACAATGTTAGGGAACACAGTCCCACTTTACATCTATTGCTAACCAAAGGATTCAACACCTTAGCTGCTGTATTACCAATATATTCAACAGCTTAACAGCTGATTCTGTATTACCAATTAAATCACCTGTACTTTGGTTCAAAAGATATATTAGAATGATTTCTGAAGGATCATGTGACACTGAAGACTGAAGTAATGGCTGCTGAAAATTCAGCTTTCCCATCACAGGAATTAATTGCATTTTAAAATATATAATCAAAGAAACAGTTATTTTTAAATTGTAATAATATTTCACAATGTGACTGTCTTTACTGTACTTATGGTCAAATGAATGCAGCCTTGGTGAGCAAAAAAGACAAATCTTAGTTATTCCAAACTTTTGACTGGTAGTGTAAACAGCTTTCATTTTCTTTAACATAGAATAATACTTAAGAATCACTTTAAATAATGGAGTAATGTTCATTCAAAATGCTAACTTTCTGATTTTTCTATTCTTTCCATGTTGTTTCATTCACTAGAACGTTCGGGTGAAGACGGTGTCTCTGTGGTCTTTTGTCAATCGTGACACATCCTTGTATATAAACCCCTTCTACACACCAGAGTCCAGTCGCGTGCTTTACCCTGTAGCCAGCATGCGCCACCTAGAGCTTTGGGTGACTTATTACATCAGGTGGAACCCTCGCATACAACACCAGGTATCAACATACATTCACAATCAGGTTGTAGTTTCTATAGCAGTTTGTATGGTGATAAGCATTATTTAAGCTGACTTTTTAGGGTATATACAAATGGATCTTTGAAGAGGGAAAAAGCATGTGCATCTTTTTTTATAGTGGGTGTTTTTGCCTCTGGGTGGGATTGAGTATGTGTGTGTGTGTGTGTGTGTGTGTGTGTGTGTGTGTGTGTGTGTGTGCACACCCGATTCAGCGGTGCAGAAAATCCTCTCTCTCCAGTTTAATTACGTCCTGACTGGCACTGCAGTGAACCGTCACTCAGAACGTCCTTATCACCACACACACACACATGCATTCTGTTACAGAGGTTTTGCAGGAGCTGCTCCAGCATTGGCATAAATAAGCATTTTACCACATTAGTCATAACAAAGATTAATGCTGTTTACCATTTACATATTAAATGCCACCAAAACAATAGACCAGAAAAAAAACTTTCATATGTAATGTGTACAGGCCATAGTGCCATGTTTGAGTATTAAACTGCACATTCTTATTATAGTTATCCAGCTAATCATAGATTAATACAAAATGCTTGTCCGAGAACTAGTATTCCAGCATCTTATTATGTGCATCAAAAAACATTTGTATCATAAAAATGCAGATGTGATCAGTTTCCTTTATTTGAAGTCAAAGAGTGTTTTTGCTGCCCTCTGGTGGCTATTTGACGCATTTGTCACTTCACGTGTGTGCATGTTTGTGTATATTTGTGCATATCAGCAACAGAGTCCAGTGGAGCAGCGCTATAAGGAGCTACTGGCGTTGAGGGATCAGTACCTGAAGAAACTAGAGGAACTGCAGCTCTCAGACTCCACCCCCTCCTCCACCCACTTGACAAACAGCTCCACCCCCAACGCTGCCATGCCCAATCAGCACATCACACACTTACAGACACCGTTTTGATCCCTCTCACAAACTGTTACAGACGTTGGACATTTGTACATAGCAATAGTGATAATTATGGTAACACAATTAGTAGTGATGTCGACGATAACGAGTAACAAAACAATTATGCAATAAACCACAGTACAGCCTTCATCACGAAAAAAACGTTAAACGAAAAGAGAAGCCTTAAAGTGACAGCGCTGTTTTTTTGCACGCCGCAAATCATGGATGAAAGTGAGTCAGATTATGTGTGGCTGTCTCAGACGCCACTTGGATACTGTTTGGAACAGTCATGTGACGATTGAAAGCAATGGAATCGGATGGACGTATGTGGATTATGTTTTGCGTTACATGTGTTATTAAGAGTTCTAAAGTGTCTAGATCTGAGTGAAGAACATTTTTTAATGTTGAGCACTAGTAAGATGGCATCTAAATGGTGTTCAGAGTGCTGGTCTTGTAGTCGGTGTGGTGTCCAGTCAATCCGGTATCAAGCAGGGTCCTCAAACTTTGGTAGAGCAATCGTTTCATTAGTATACTTGGTTTAACTGCTTGACAAACTCAAATGGCTGACCTCAAAAGGTAAAGGAAGCAGATATGTTGTCTAAATGTCTTACTTTTTCCTCCGTAAATGTCATTCGCTGCTCAGGTGAGTGTATGATATGGTAGGAAAATGTTCTGAAGCGATTAATATTAGCTTGTTGAACAGAACCAGGGTTTTTTTAAGTGAGCGACGTGGATACCTTTTTGGTGCCTTTACTCGTATCTGAGGTTTTCAGGTATATATTTTATTGCGAGACGGTTTTTTTCTTTATGGCAGCATCAGTGGTAGAATATTCATTTCCATTCACTGTGCGTTTGAGCAACAGGTTGTTTCTTCTCCTGCTGAGTTCTGGAGTTGAACAGTTTGAAGCCCTACATGCTTGTGGCTTTACCCCATAAAACGACGTGCAGTTGCCACGGAAAGCAAATATTTAGTTTCTGATGGAGCTGACAGTATTGCTCCCAATGAGACGTAGCATAGTCTGCAAAGTCTTTTGGGTAGGACTTAGCGGCTGGGATATGAAGCGGTGTGTTTGAGCTGTCCCAAATTCAGCCTTTTCCTGAGGAAGAGAGCGGTGACTGACACGGGGTTATAGAGGAGGGCTTCATTGAGTCATTGCTCATGCTGCCTTGGAAAACTGAACTTCTTAAGACTTTGACCTCAATGAGGATATGACGTTTAAACCATAGTGTGTGAAGAAGACAAACAAGTTCAATAAACAAACAAACCATTTGCGGTTGGTTGTTTTTAGGGGGGAAAAAAGACAGAAATCTATTTTTTATTTTGTACAAGTACCAGAACTATGTAATTACCTCAAACAAAAACCTATTTTACTGTTGAAAGTTCTATTGTTGTAAAATATAATTATTTTATTCAGTGTACAATTTGACAGTTTTATAAAAAGGAAAGTAATTAGAAAAATGTTTTGGGTTGGTTTTGGAAATTGTAGGTAATTTGTTGGACATCCTCTTATATGTATAATTTCTTTCTTTTTTTAATGGGCATTTAGATTTTGCTTTGTAACATTTTAAAGATCTGAAAACGATCTGATTCTGTAGGGAATTCTTTTGTTCTCAATCCCATCGCATGAGATTGAGTGAAGGAAAGCTGCACTCTGAATTTTTTTTTTTTTTGTTTGTTTTCTCACATTATCTTAAGTTAGACATAATAGTTTAGAGGGATCTATTTGTGTTTTGTATTCCCACATGTATCCTTTATTTGTTGGCCAGCTATTGTTCTGTACATAATGCTGATTAAATTAATTTAAAGAGTTCACATGGAAAAGACTGTGTGCTCATTATTCCAGGCATTCTGATTTTATGACAGTGGGGTTTAAATGTTTCTTACATTTCTGTTATGTGCAGCGCTTATAGCATATAAACCACCCAATGCAATTTGTCTAGAGCGACTAATCACCAAAAACATGTTTTTCAAGACCTGCAAGCATGCATGACTGCAATGAAAATGCATGCTCTAAAAACTAAAATGTATATACTATCACAGAGGTATGAAAAAAAACTCATCTTATAGAGATGATTTCCAGACAATTTAATAAGCATAAGCCTAATCTAAAAGCAAACAGTTATATTAGATTCCTTAGTTATATTAATGAGGTGCATCTTATTGAAAATCAAAAAATGTACAATAAGCCAAACATACAGTAAAAACCGATATAGTGAGATGTTACAATTTAAAATAACCGTTTTCTATTTTGATGAAGATCTATTTGACATTTTTGATGTTAAAGGGGTCATATGACGTTGCTAAAAAGAACATTATGTTGTGTATTTGGTGTAATGAAATGTGTTTATGCGGTTTAAAGTTCAAAAAACACATTATTTTCCACATACTGTACATTCAACAAGCAAGGCAAGGCAAGTTTATTTATATAGCACATTTCATACACAATGGTAATTCAAAGTGCTTTACATAAAAGAAAAGAAAAAGATAATCACAACAATAAAACAAGGAATTTAAAAACTGAAAATTATTAAAAAATTGATTTAAGAGGTTTAAAATTAATTTAAAACGGTTAATAGAAAACGATTATAATAAAAAAATAGTGCAACTCAGCGACCAGCACGGCTCAGCTCCAGGCATGACGAAGCGGATATCGTCCTCTTTTGGAAGGCCAAACTAAGTAGTTTTGCTTTCACAACGAAACACACAGCGCCTTCACGACATGGCGGTGGCAACAATACTACAGCAAGAATAAAAGTTATGGCTTTCTTTGCGTGAACATTTGGGTGGCGTTATGCAAATCTTCCCACATAGTGACGTAGATATGTGGGGGCGTGTTAGAAGGAGACGTTTTAGGTAGGTGTGGTTGACTTAACTTTTATAAAGAATATCTCTTTGGATTTGAGACTTTAGTCTTTGCAACTTTACAGATCTTTATGCACCAAGAGCTTGTAACACTTCAATGAGAAAGGAAAAATTGAAAGCGCATCATATGACCCCTTTAAAGCTGAATTTCCAGCAGCCACCAGTCTTCAGTGTCACATGATCCTTTAGAACCCATTCTATTATGCTGATTTCATGCTCAAAACATTTTTTTTTATCGGTATGCATGTTGAAAACCAGTTCTGCTGCTTGCTTTTTTTTGTGGAATCCGTGATACAATTGTTTTCAGTATTCTTTGTTAAATAGAGATTTCAAAAGATCAACGTTTATTTGAAATATATAAAGTCTTCCGAATGTTTATGTTTAAACGTAATTTCTGGTGGGAAAAAATACGTATGCATACACACAATATATGGCTGCCGATATGTTAGTGAGCTAAATATGGGTTTGACAGCAGGGGGAAGATTTCGTCATGGCTGCCTCCTCGACATAAATAAAGAGAAACGCTATTTGTCAGCGGCGGCAGCAGCAGAGCAGGAAGCAGTGAGGCGACCGCAGAGCAGACTGCTGCACGCGAACAGCCAAAGAAAGATGACTTCCTAAACACAGAGATTCCGCTAGCAGACTAGAGGAAGCTAAAAGACATTCACATCTTACACGACGGAGCTCGGGACGGTGAGAAATGGAGAAACGGCAGCATTCGTCGGGTTCAGAGAGTCCGGTGCTGCCGCCTGTCCCGCGTAAACCGAGGAACCTCGGAGGAGCAATCCCTGCACCTCGACAAGACAGCGTGGATTCATTAGACAGGTACAAGACGTGGGTTTATGCTAACATGTACAATTACATATGTATTTTTCATAAATAAAGCGATCTACGGTGTGCGAACACGCGATACAGGATGGAGAGATAAGACGCGTCCTATATATGCTTAATGTTATGATATTTACCCTGATATATACTGTATATTATAGTTTATTTGTGCTCAGATAACACTAATATCAAAACGATTTCTTATTAAATTATTTCTGTCCATTAGAAACTATCAGCACGCATCCTTCCATCATCATTTTAAGGTAGTAACGTTAGCCTGTAACGTGTTACCAAGAAGTGATACATTAACTGAAACAATAAGACATAAAAAGCATTTTTTAAAGCCAGGTTGCAATGTTGTTGCATTTTTCACCAATGGAAGATCAGACTGTGACACATTTCTCTGACCTCATATTGCCATCTGTCATCTTCAGTCCACACTGACTGGCACTGCTGGCAGATGCATTGACTGAAGCACTTGCTTGAGTGTGTTATTTATTTTTTTTCTCACACAGTCCTACTGGATCTCATGTGGAGTGGTGTAAACAGCTGATAGCGGCCACTATCTCCAGCCAGATCTCTGGTGGTGTCCCTCCAGAAGCCATTACCCATGAATGCAAGGTTAGAGAATGTTTTTCACTCTTAATCAGACCTGTATTTAATAAAATAAGTACAGCCAGTCGGTCGTTACCACAAAATAAACCCACGGAGTGATAAGGACCTATGAATGGGTCCTGACTGTACATGATCCCAACTTATTACTCTGCTGGTTAACAAATAAATAAACATATGGAAGTGAAATATTGATTTGAGTTGAAAGGACATTTATATAAATTATTGTATGTTGTATTTAAAGGCACAATATGTAAGATTTTTTTTATTAAGATATCCAAAAACCACTAGAACTGTGTAATATATTTTGCTGACTTGTGTACTTACATTATCCCAAATGTTTAGAAGAATTTTAAGCAATTTTAACTAGTGACATGGACCGTGTCCATAGTGTCATTGTGTCGCCTGCCAATGACATCATAGCCCTTTGATTTCCGGTTTTGTTTTGTAGAAAACATGGAAACACCAAAGACGCTTTAATATGTTGTGCGTTTTGTTAGACCGGTGACGACCGCACAGACTAGCATTATAACAGAACTTTCAAATGTATCTAGTATGATGAAACAGCGCTGCTTTTTTCTCCCACATACACACGACCGGAAGGAGCGGAAGCGGTCGACTGGTGCATAATAAAAGCTCTGCTGCTTTCGAGCCGTGTGTCGTGCTCGTTCAGCGGCCTCGTTTCGCTTCGACGGCTTTCAGCCTCACCCTGCTTCATTCTACTATGTTAATAAATCATTAGCTCAACCATGAACATGATTTCTGCCCGAGTCCCGTCGGATTGCATCGGCTGTGGGGATGAAGACACTCAGTCACTGCATCATCAAAACTACGCCTTTGATTCTTTGTTTATTTTGAATACGCGCCCTCTAGTGGCGAAAATTACATATTGTGCCTTTAAGCTTAGAAACATGGCATTCAAAATGAATGTGGCCAAGTGTTAATTTTTTTTTTTTGCCTCAGAGTGAGCCTTTATGATATTGCTTTTTAATCAACAGGCTGGGAAGAAGATAGATTTCAAGGTAAGGGTGATGGAAGTGGGGTGTTTGTCCTGTCCACACGAACGCGTTTTTAAAACCGCAGCTTTTTCTACGCAGTTTGGCCGTTCGTCCACACGCAAACGCAGCACCAGTTCACTGAAACCGAACATTTTTGAAAACGCCTGCCAGGGTGAAGATTTTCAAAAACGTCTTGACAGTGATTCATAGCATGCGTTTGCGTTTTCATGTGGACCGAGATTTTTTTTAAAACGGAAGGAAAAACTCCATTTATAAAAATACATGTGGACATGGCCTCAGTTTGCTTTAAAAGGGCCAATGCTTTGAACTGCTTTGAGCTGTAAATTAGAAATTGTACATAATGCTACAAATATATAACCACTGTTTGTGTTAGTCTGCTTTACCTTTGTGTGCGTTCAGTATGGGATTTTGCACACTGTCTTTTTGTTATGTGTTTGTCTTCTGTTTATAAGCTCTTTATGCTTTATCAAGGTGTTAAAGGATGAATCTCATGAAGGAATGTCATATTGTCATATTTTATCACGTATTCAAAATGGAAAAAAGGGAAGCTATATTCTGCATAAAAATGAAGCTTGTTTTTAAGATACAATTGTTGCTGTCTGCTGTATTTTCAGACAAGTTCTTAATCTGTTTGTACATAAATTAAATGTAAGATTAATATACATTTTTAACCGTATTATTTGCACATTTTAGTAAATTGTGCTGCTCACAGAAATCTCCAGTTCATTGGTCTGGGATATTCTGTAAAGCTTGTCTGAGATAGTAACAGTAACCCAGGGGCCGGAGCTTATCGAAGGGTCATATAATACAGTAAAGAAAATCATCCTGATTTTCTGGACAGAAAAAATCTTTTAAAATGAAATTATATAATTAAATTCAGCAGAAGTAAAATTACCTTTTTTTTACTGTCTTGTCTCATCTTACTGTCACTTAAAAAAAAACAAAAAAAACGTACCCAACATTTTTAAAAGGTAGTGTGTGTATACTTAACTTTGTTCTTTACAATTTAAATGGTATATAATTAATAATAATAATACAATATAAAGTATAATATATATAAAGTAATAATATTATATAAAGTAATGAGAATTAGATTTTTTACATTATAGTAGGTAGTAGAAAATATTAATGGTCCTAAAAATAGGCTGCTTTTTTTTCTTTCTGATTATAGGGTAAAATATCACTTGGAAATGTCTTGACATGATGTCTATGTGTGTTCTCCAGGTATCCAGGAGGCCAAACTTGAGGGTAAGGTTGAAGATCCAGAGTCTGAGATCTGTATTGAAACACACCAGAAGCATCAAAAACGCACATTTGAATTATTTAGTTGCCATTAGCTCAGATCTTCTAGTGAAGTAGTGATGGCTGAGCAGCTGTATGTTTTTTGTGTTTTCTCTCTTCCTCCTTAAATCACACTTCCTGTCTCCTTATGAGGATATGACCTATCAACCCTAAAGAGCAACTGTTATCTTTGCTGCATTGTCTCTCTTTCTCTTTCCAAAACAGACACTAAAATCACAGGAACTGTTTAATAAACACTTTCTTTCTTTCTGTCTGTCTGTCTGTCTGTCTGTCTGTCTGTCTGTCTCATAATCTGTATTTCTTCTGCGTCTGGTGCTCAGTCTCAGGACTCTGGTGAAGATGGCTGTCAGTTTGACAGTGACTATGAACTGCCATCTCACACTACGGCAAGTTTCTCTCGCTTCAACACTACCTGCTTACTCTAACCTTCCTTTGTCTATCTTCTGTTTCCACTCTCAATTATTTTACTGCTGTCAAGGTCTTTGTCAAGCCCTTACATCAGCCCAGACTTTATGATAGCAGCTATATTATTATGAGAAAACACTACTTTTCAAAAGTTTGAGGTCAATAAAAATGTTTTCTTTTGGGGAAAAAAACAAAAAACTTTTATTCAGCATGGATGCGTTAAATTGCTGACAATTTTTGTAACAATGCAATCCAAATACTGTTTATTTTAACTTTTGTTTTTTTAATAATGGTTTCCATCAAATTTATTAAGTAGCATAATCGATTTTAACTATGATAATGATAATTCATGTTTCTTGAGCACCAAATCAGCATGTTAGAATGATTTCTGAAGGATCATGTGACACTGATGACTGGAGTAATGATGCTGAAAATGTAAGTTTGCCATCACAGGAATAAACTACATTTAAAAATATATTAAAATAGAAAACATTTTTTAAGAATAGTAATACTACTTCACAATCTTACTGTTTTACAGTATTTTTGATCAGATGAATGAAGCCTTGGAGAGCATAAGAGACTTATTTCAAAATCATTTAAAAAACCTTACCGACCTCAAACTTCTGAATGGTAGTGTATGAACAAGATATTAGCAGAATAAAATAACTGCTGTGTGAATTTTGAGAGGTTGTCTTTTTACCCTGTAGCAGGTTTTCAAGGATGTACGAAGGCAGGCGCCCATGGATGAAGTCCCACTGGTCCCTGGAGAGACAATCAAAACCGCTGGTATGTTGGATCATTTGTGATGACTCGTTTCCTGTTTCTGCTTGTTTGGTGTCAGTTAACTAACATTTGTTATCTTCTGTCACTGCAGTTAAAGATGTGATGTATATCTGTCCTTTCACTGGAGCTGTGACCGGCACACTCACTGTCACAGACTACAAACTCTACTTTGTCAGTCTAGAACGGGTATGGAGGAAAAAATTAGTTTTTTATTCTCTTTCTCAATGTCAAAATCAGTATAGTATCTTAATATTGTGTTATATGCCCAAATAATGGCATTAAACATCTTATTCCATCCTTCTCTGCAGGACACACCGTTCATATTGGATGTGAACCTGAGTGCCATCAGCAGGTTGGAGACTATCAGTGTGCAGAGTCTTGGGGAGAATACTAGTGGCATGGAGATCATCTGTAAGGTTAGATTCACCACCATCCACCCACATGCTTGTCTGTTCCACCTGTAGTAAACATCCACCCACAACGCAGAGCTCAGTGTCAGTGTTCGGATAGAGTCGGTCTATAGGGGTAATTATTGTCTTAGCTGATTCATGGACAATGCATCTCTGTTCGTCTGGAAATAATCATAATCAGCTCCACTGGTTCATCTTGTTTATTGATTTCCTTTCAGTATTCAGTATTAGGCACAATTTGGTACAATAAATTAATACACTTATCATTTAAATGTATATACACTACTGTTCAAATGTTTGGGGTCACAGAAATCTTTCTGCTTAATGCTGATTTGGCGCTTAAACACATTTATTATTATTATCAATGTTTAAAACAGTTATGCTGCTTAATAGTTTTGTGGAAACCATGATACATTTCTTTCAGGATTCTTAAAACAAAAAAATGTAAGGAATAGAGATCTTTTGTAATATTTTGAATCCAAAGTTCTGTCATGAAACTCTAGATTTCAGCCTCAAAAACTGCAAGTTGTCCATACCAATGATTTGTGGTTTGTCTCAATAGGATATGAGGAGTCCGAGGTTTGCTTATAAAAAGGAAGAACAGAGTAACCTGGAGATTTTGGAGGTGTTGACCAAGTATGCCTTCCCCCTGTCCAATGAGCTGGTATGTCATGGCTCCGGTCAGAGCAGTGATTGGCCACTAGATCTGAGTAAAGTTGGTTAATGTCTCCACAATCCATTTGTTCATTTATCTTTTCCAGTCCCTATTCGCCTTCCAATACAAAGAGCAGTTTCCAGAGGATGGATGGAAGGTTTATGATCCAGTGGCAGAATATAAAAGAATGGTGAGACGTGCACTTCACTGAAAAAGAATAGACTTGTCTGACTGAATACATAAATTGAGAATAATATGGCTTCATTCAGCCTTTATATAGTTCTCTCTTCTCTTTTTTTCTGTCTCCACACTGTGTGCAGGGTTTGCCAAACGAGAGCTGGACCATCAGTAAGATCAACAGTAATTATGAAGTGTGTGACACTTACCCTGCTCTGCTCATCACCCCAACCAGTATTAAGGAGGATGAGATCAAACGAGTGGTCTCTTTCAGAGTAAAACATCGCATACCAGTAAGTGAGTGTGTGTGTCTGCAAGCTTACTTTACAAGTCATCTTTTTTCCAGTGTTTTTTCCGTTTACACATTGCAATCTAGGGTTGTCTGCATTTCACATTAGTTACACATTCAACTGCATACTCCTCGGTGAAAGTGAATACAGACACGCTACCATTCAAAAGGTGTTTTGAAGAAATGAATACTTCAAGCAAATAAGTGCTGTTCTTTTGAATTCATGAAAGAATCCTAAAACAATTGTATCACAGTTTCCACAAAAACATTAAGCGGCACAACTATTTGCAACACTGATAATAATAAAAAATGTTTCTTATGCACCAAATCAGCATATAAAAATGATTTCTAAAGGATGATGTGACACTGAAGACTGGAGTAATAGCTGCTGAAAGTTCAGCTTGCAAATACAAATTATGTTTTAAAATTTCTAATAATGGAAAACATTTTATTTTAAATTGTAGTGATATTTCATAATATTGCTGTATTTGTGACCCTGGAGCACAAAACCAGTCTTAAGTCGCTGGGGTATATTTGTAGCAATAGCCAAAAAAACATTGTATGGGTCAAAATTATCGATTTTTCTTTTATGCCAAAAATCATTAGGATATTAAGTAAAGATCATGTTCCATGAAGATATTTTGTAAGTTTCCTACTGTAAATATATTAAAACTAAATTTGTTATTAGTAATATGCATTGCTAAGAACTTAATTTGGACAACTTTAAAGGCGATTTTCTCAATATTTTGATTTTTTTTTTTGCAACCTCAGATTCCAGATTTTCAAATAGTTGTATCTCGGCCAAATATTGTCCTAACAAAACATACATCAATGGAAAGCTTATTTATTCAGCGTTCAGATGACGTATACATCTCAATTTCGGAAAATTTACCCTTATGACTGGTTTTGTGTTCCAGGGTCACATTTTTGATCATGTAAATGCAGCCTTGGTGTTCTTGTAAATGTTAAATGTTAATAAATGTTCTTTAAAAAACATTTGAAAAATCTTACTGGCTTCAAACTTTTGGATGGTAGTGTGTATACCAGCTACAGATTACTGCTGTGTCTGCGTAAGGCTCTATGATGACATTTGGGGCATTTTTCTTCACTTTCGGTGGCATTTTTGCCCAGGTGCTTGTTAATTTTAAATGCTGTTCATACTAAAATAACAACAGAATGAAATCAATAAACAATACTGGCAGTAAACACGTAAACAATGTTTATCAGATATATTAAAATTGGGGGGAAAAATCTAAAAACTACTGAAATAATTGACGTGAGCATTCAAAAGCAGCCTGGACTCCCTTGCCTCATTTTCTCTTTCAGGTCCTCTCATGGATCCACCCAGAAACTCAGGCCACTATAGTTCGCTGTAGTCAGCCCATGGTGGGCCCGACAGACCACCGGTGTAAGGAGGATGAGCATTACCTCCAGGCCATCATGGATGCCAATGCACAGTCCCATAAACTCACCATATTTGATGCTCGACAGAGCATTGTGGCTGATAATCACAAGGTAATAGTGATTTCCTTTATGTGATGCTTTTTCAGTTCAGTTCATCAATGTTGCTGTACATGCAAATAACATGCTGCTAAGTATTTTTTAGGGGAAATGTAGGAAAAAGATTTGTATGTCACTTTCTCAAACTTAATGCACACACCCTCATTATGTTTTGCGCAAATGTAGTTTTGAATTACTGAGTAGCCATCTGTGCTAATGTACATCTGAAGATCCTGTCAGGAGATGAAAATGGAAGCCAAGAATCTTCTTTTACTCTGTTCTGCTGTTTCATACCTCAGGCTAAGGATGGAGGTTATGAGAATGAACATTTCTATCCTAACATGGACCTGAATTTCCTGGAGATCCCAAACATTCATGTTATGAGAGAGTCTCTGCGTAAGCTGAAGGAGGTGGTCTACCCTACCATCAACGATCCACACTGGCATTCAGCCATAGATGCCACACACTGGCTGCAGTACATAAGGGTAAACACCAACTCTAATCTTTATTTCTACAATATGAATTAACAATCAATATTTTTGTTCACCTACTCACATTTACAAACATATTTTTGAAACCTCTACATGAGTATAGGATTTAGCCATATACAGAGTGGCTGCAAAAAGTCAAGAAACATCAAACCAAGTTGCATTGGCAAAGAAACGATGCAAGACCTTTTCCAATAACTTTTATGAGCCTTTTTACCAACTTGTCCCAGTCATTTCCCCTTAAGTCTGAATCAGAAAGTAAAGCCAGGTGCACACTTTTACTATAAGCCATGTCACATTGGGGGATCTCAGCTGTCATTAAGGCCAGACTGTACGGTGGTCAAGACTCATTAAAAATGGACATACGCTAGAACAATCCATGACACGTTCTGTGATGGTGAGCCGCATTCACACATGGAATTTAATTGGTGGCAAGCAAACAAAAGCAGTCTCTAGATTTAATTTAGATCATGATTTGCCTTGAATAGAAAAAATGAAGACGATGTGTGTTTTTGCATTTATAAGGTCATCAGGTTCAATTTGATTTTAATGGTCATTCGTCGGCTGTCAGTGGACATGATTGAAGACTACAGATTTTGGCCTAGAATCAGAGGAATGTTTAGGATTTGCGAGATTTGGCGAATCATGGCATACAGTGTGCACGCAGCTTAAGATGATTAGACGCTTTTAAAGGAGTCAACTCTCTCTTTTTAGCTTTTGCTTGTGGGTGCAGTGCGGATTGCAGATAAGGTTGAGTCGAGTAAGAGCTCTGTGGTGGTGCACTGCAGTGACGGCTGGGACCGCACAGCTCAGCTCACCTCTCTGGCAATGCTGATGCTGGATTCACACTACAGGACACTCAGGGGCTTCCAGGTGCTGCTGGAGAAGGAATGGATCAGCTTCGGACACAAGTTTGCTGCGGTGAGGAACACTGAGTGTGAAAGAGAACCCATATATGTGACCCTGGAGCACAAATCCAGTCTTAAGTCACTGGGGTATATTTGTAGCAATAGCCAAAAATACATTGTATGGGTCAAAATTATTGATTTTTCTTTTCATCAAAAAATCATTAGGATATTAAGTAAAGATCATGTTCCATGATATTTTGTAAATTTCCTACTGTAAATATATTAAAACTTAATTTTTGATTAGTAATATGCATTGCTAAGAACTTCATTTGGACAACTTTAAAGGCGATTTCTCAATATTTTTATTTTTTTGCACCCTCAGATTCCAGATTTTCAAATAGTTGTATCTCGGCCAAATATTGTCCTATTCTAACAAACCATACATTAATGGAAAGCTTATTTATTCAGCTTTCAGATGATGTCCTTTATGACTGGCTATTGCTACAAATATACCCCAGCGACTTAAGACTGGTTTTGTGGTCCATGGTCACATATGTGGGGTAGAAAACTGAATTCAGCTAATCAGATGGGCATGTTATCAATGTTGGAAATTGTTTTGCTACTAGTGCTGTCAAACGATTAATTGCGATTAATTGCATCCAAAATAAACATTTTTGTTTAAAAAAAATATATGCATATGTGCTGTGTATATTTATTATGTATTTATAAATACACACACAGTACATATTTTGAAAATATTTACATGCATAGGCTATATTTATATTCATATAATATATATTGTATATAAATATATTTAATATATAAACCCAACATATTTTTCTGAAATATATACATGCATGTGTGTGTGTACTTGTATATACATAATAAATATACACAGTACACACGCATATATTATGTAAACAAAAAAATTATTTTTGGATGCGATTAATCGTTTGACAGCACTATTTGCTACTCAATATTTTTCTGCAAAACTTTTTTTTTCAGGATTTAAAAGGAATAGAAAGTTTAAAAGAACAGCATTTATTTGAAATAGAAATATTTAGTAAAATTATAAATGTATTTATTGTCATTTGAATATACTTGCTGAATGGAAGTATTAATTTCTTTTTAAAAATCTCTTTTTGTCATAGCGTGTTGGTCACGGAGATGAAAATCATGCAAACTCTGAGCGCTCGCCTCTATTTGTGCAGTTCATAGACTGTGTTTGGCAAATGATGAGACAGGTGAGCTGCACCTTTTTTGCTTTCTAACGTCTAACATTTTTATTTATAGTGAAATGTTTGTTTAAAATGTTATGTTTGTGTTTGAGCCTAATTCCTGTGAATTCCCATGAAATGGATGCTGGTGTTTTGGAACTCACTGTGAATGTCTTTATAATGTGTTCGCAGTTTCCCACTGCCTTTGAGTTTAATGAGCTCTTCCTCATCACTATCCTGGATCACCTCTACAGCTGTCTGTTTGGTACATTCCTTTACAACAGCGAACAGGAGCGAGTGGAAAAGGTATGTGCCACAGTGCCAACACTGGGAGGGGGAATAGTAGTAGTTTTGATGGACTAGAGATGTTCCAATGCTGACATTTGCACATTTTTCCTTCTGTTTTCAGGAAGTGAACAGTAAAACGGTGTCTTTGTGGTCCTACATCAATAGCCAGCCAGAGGACTTCACCAACCCCTTCTATGTGGACTATGAAAACCATGTTCTGTACCCTCTGGCCAGTCTCAGACATTTGGAGCTCTGGGTTGGATACTACGTACGCTGGAACCCCCGCACGAGACCACAGGTGCAAAATGTTCTCAACACATTAGCTTAAGCAATGCATTGGATTGCTAGTTTACTAAAACTAGAGCTTTTATAACTGACACCAGCTCTTTTTGACTTTTGATCAGATGCCTGTGCACCAGAACCTGAAGGAGCTGCTGTATCTTCGTGCAGAGCTACAGAGGAAGGTGGAGGAGTTACAGAAAGAAGCATCTTCATCACGTTCGATCTCCTCTTCATCAGAGCATGCGTATTCTCCTTCAAATGGCGGTACACCTCTACACACCTCTGTGTAAAGTACATGCAACACTCACATTAGGGAATTCATCATTAACAGAATGTGTAGGTTACAGTAAACATAGTAATGTGAAGTCTAAGTCTATTGGTCGTTTCTCACTGGATAATGCTTTGGGCAAGATGTAGCTATAGAGGCCCAGCACATACACTTGTGAAAACTTGCATGAACACCCAAAAAAAGGACAGTCTCCCACACAATTCAGGTTCATTTCGTTTGTGTGGAACTGCTCTTATAGACTGATAACCATGAAAGCGTTTGATCGTAATTGAGTTTATGAAAAATAGGCCAGTATTTTCACTTGCTTTTAACTTGACTTGTAATTATTGACACAAGTTTTAATAATTTATTTGTATGTAGTCAGTGTAATATGAGCATCTTTTTCTATTTCACAGCATTTCTGTGCTTTTTCTGTAGTTTTTGTGTAATAGTTTTTCTTTACTGCCTCAGCATTGCCTGCCTTTGTGCCAATACCAGACCAACCTTTTAACTTTTCACTCAAAAAAATCTTACATGAACATCTTATTCCTCTACCTATCAGCTTGTGTTCATATTGTGTCTTGTGTTCAAGTTTTAAGTTTTAAAAATACTTTATTAGATTTTACTAGATTGTTTTTTTTTTTTTGTAAGGAATGGAGTTTTGAATTGCTATTGCTTTTGCGATACTGCCAATTTGAAGCCACATACTGTTTTTGTTTTTCTGTAGCACTTGTTAGTATGAAAGTGGAATTAGGTTTTAATGTGCACAGCCTACTACTGCACTACTACTGTACTTTCATGTACTACTGAAATTAATGTTTACACAAGGTAAATAGGGACCATCTTATATGTATATATCCACTCATTATTGATTAAGCAAGTGCAAATAATTTTTGTTTTTTATCTGTGAATCGCTCCCATATTTAAGCCATTCCTATTTAATTGGAATCCTCTGTGTTTTGACTTTACAAATGGTCAACAGTTCAGATCATTTGAACAGGGGATGCCATATAATGTTTAAAAAAATTATATGTAATAATCATAATGCACCTTAAAATTAATATATTGTGTATTTGTTTTGTTTTTTTCTTTTGAGTGTATTTTTGTATTTGTGCAACCCTGGTTATTCTTTATACACACATTTTTTACTTCTGTTAAAAAAAATTGACTCCAGAAACTTGCAACCTGACTCGATGGAAAATAAATAGGAAGGAATCAAAGACAAGATAAATTGTTTATTATTGGGTTTCTTTATGCCGATCTTTTACCACCAAGTGAGATAGAGTGAAATTTGAGTACATTTGAATATTAAAATGTCTAGAAGAGGATTGCCAGTTGATATCTGTGCAGTTAATTGTGTTTTTATCACAGTCTGTATTTGAGTGAGCAGGCACTGATATATAAACTGTGTGATTTTATGCTGAAAGTCAGTATTTCTGAGGTTCACATCAAAGCCAAATTTAAGTTCATTCAATGACAGTTAAAGCTATAGCATTACAGTCTGATCTGTGGCAGTACCATAAACTGGCAGTGCAAATCAAGACACTTCAGAAACGTATGTCCCAATAACAAATTTTTCAAGTTAATAAATAAACCCAGTACACAAGAAAAACCTTTAATATCTACAGCTAGAATCCAAAACATGCGTATCTGTACAGTTCAGCGCGTACACCCTTGTTTTGACAAAATTGCAACTATACTGGCCAAACGACACCAGAGAGAGCCCAGAGATCCTTACAAATGCAACATCCACCATATGAACTATTAGTACCCAGAAATGTAGATGGTCAATTGAAGGAATTAGGGAGGTTTTAACAGTCACATAATGCGTCCACAGCAACAAATCTGTAAGCAGTTCAACACAGGTTATAATGTTGTCGAAAATGTTCAAGACACTTTTGAATTTCCACATTTGCCTTAACCAAGACCGTTGTACCTTTCACTCAGCTGTTTCAATTCATTCCACTGGATCACTAGACTCACACCAAAGTCAAAGAACATGCAAAAAGGCAAAACCATCACATTTCATCTTTGGTGTTCTTCATTTCTAACAAGTGTAGCACCAAAAAAGCTACATTTGTTCTGGTAGCCAAAGCAGTAAAAAGAGTTACATTCAGCTAACATTCTCTTTGTTGATTTTCACCCTAGATACTCTACCAAAGCCTTGGTAGGACGTGCCTTTAAAGGAAAGTACCAGGCAACATTCTGTGCCGATATGTCTCTGACATCATTACCATTCGACTCGCAAATCTGCTTTATCTTGGGCGTGTGAGTAAACAATATTTCAGATGTGTTTAAACTGCAATAGTGTTAAGGTGAGGTCACATTTACCGTTGCTCTGTGTTTTTTTTTTTTTGCATGCGTAATTTCAACAAGAATCAATGTGATCAGGAATTTTACACAAGGGCAAATGATTTCGGCGTGCAGAATTCGCAATGCAAGTTAGTCACACAAATCAACAGAAAGCCATGTGGTTTGAAAGTGATTTGCGTGAGCAAACAGCATTTGATGCTGGACATTTTTGCCTGCGAAATTTCAGAGAATGTGACCACACCTTTGAACTGGAACAACATACGTAACCTAGTACGTCTAGTTTGTAGACATTCAAGTGAGGCAGCCCTTCTAACGGTCGTGACTGTTAGTGCTGTGTTAGTAAGCTAGCGTGTCTTCCCTAATGTTAGCGTGGTAAGGCATTGGGAAGGAAAGCACCATTGGCGAGGGCTTGGGTTGAGGGTAACAAAGGTGCACCTGAATTCACAGTGAAAAACAACAGCTACAGGAAAATCTGGAGCATCTCAAGTGGGGGAGAGGATGGTAAGGACTGAGCCGCTTTTTAATCTGGTTTTGCTAACTTGCCATTTCTAGATGGTGGCCTTCCAAATCAGGAGAAATGAGGGCTCTGGTCAAGCTCAGACCCTTGGCAAATGAAGTGGGGGAAATTAGCAAAATGGGAAAGCAGCTGGAGACTCATTAAGGCAATAGCAAAACTAGCGAGGGTGTAACAGGTCTCTAAAAAGTCTCAAAGCTAAAGCTCAAACATGCTACAAACGATACAAACACTAAGCTAGGGCGAAAAAACTACTCCCCGTAATCCAAAAGGAGTGGGGGGCACAAACATTTATGTACATTTACTGCTACAAGTGTAAATAGAGATACACTGATACAACGGTTTTGAGTACAAACTTGGAAACGTTATGCAATATACAAGCACATTAACCCCTTAAAACCCCACAAAAGGCGATGGATCAGAATTAGCGATACGAAGAGTTACTAGACTAAGTATTGCGCTAACATGAAAACACAACTTCGGTTACTTCCACCCACAAGTTACTTGACGCTAATGTATCTACTCATTCCGATCACGCTGAATCAAACTATTCCTCAAAAGAAGGAATCGCAACCACTGACATCCAACTAACACGCACAAATGCAGTCAACACGGCTTCTTCATCAACACACGTCAACACATCTTCACAGTTAAACCAATTTTAGTCATTGTTTCTTTTTTTTAAAGCAAATTAGAAGGAAGCAGCTGTTGGTTAGTTTTTGACTTTAGGTGTTCGTCTTTTTTTTTTTTTTTTCCTCAAAAAGTCACTCTAGTAAAAAGTTCACTAAGACACAAAAACCTGCATATATGTGTAACAATCTTTTCACATTGCTGTGAAAGCAAGGCAAATATATACAGAACATGTTAAAACATCAACAACAACAACAATAAAAACCTTCACAAATCCTTCATCTTTTTTTTTCAATTGCAGATTCCACAGCAACTGATCTGTTAAGCCTGTCTTGCTGTGAAAGTGTAAGGAAAACAGTCTTGACCTTTAAAATCAGATTTCTATGATTATCCAATCTGCTGTTTTTGTAAACCTTGGATTAATCACTCGTATCACATTAATATGCATTTGTGCACAATAGGAATGATGGGCTAAACTGACAAACAAAAAGACTAGCGCAGTGTCTGTAGGACTCTTTGTATGGGCCTCTGTAAAAAGACCCAAGTGTGATTTCTTGGGTCTCAGCAGATCATGCGAAAATTATTAGGTGTTTTCCATTTCATAGCAATATTATTGCAAACAGGCTTACTACATTGTTGCATGTGAACAGTTAAAATAGAATTTAAAAACATTATTAGACTATATTTAAGGTTGATTTAAACAGTCACATTGGTACTTCAAAAAGGGCATTGTGGTGCAAATGCGCTGGGAAATACAGTGGCATTCAAATTGGAGAACAACGATTTAGAACTGCGCCCTCTTTAGTTTGGATGATGCATTTCAGATTACACTGCATTTTCCTCTGTCGGCGGCTCAGCATTGGGAGGCTGGAGAAGAGTTTGTTGAACTGGAGTAGGAAAGAAAATAACGCAATTATTAATCATTCTGTCAAGTACACACACACACACACACATATATGTAAATAAACAGATTGCAATTTTAAGACTAATTTAAGGTGTACTAAGTTTAAAGAAAGTTTTTCTATCATTGAACATAAATTGTAGGTGATAATTGTGCTAGTGAATGGCATCCGTAACCAAAAACTTTTTTGCGCCATACTACATCCACGCCAGCAAGTGTCAGTCTAAGACCACAATTGTTTAGAAAAATTAACAGAAGGAATGAAAATTTTACAAAAAAAAAAATTATAATTGGAAATAAAAATAAAATTCACCACTGGCAATATGAGGAAGTATGGTCTGGCAGACTTTTACTGGCAAATAATTGGGATATCTTAAAATCCCAACAATAAAAAAAAATGCACATCGTTCATTACTTATTCTACCGACATTGTAACAATACAAAGCTAGTTATAAATCTACGAATGTACCCTTTAAAGAGCAGGTCATATGGGTTTTTGAAAAATCTCTTTTGCAGTTTATAATGTAGCTATCCTTAAATGAAAATAATCTGCAAAGTTGTTAGTCAAAAAAGTGCTCGATAAATAAAGATATTATCTCTCAAAAGAGAGAGTCGATTCTGAATCGCCTTAACGAGTCGTCATATTTTCGAATCTTTTGCCTGTTACCTGTATACGTCACTGGGTAACACATTTGCATAATCCCCGCCTGCCCACGACTCTGACCTGCCCACAAACACTTCCGCTAGTTAGTGTTTACATATTTTACCGAGGACTGCTTCTCTAATCTTGACTTTTATCTTCGTCAGCTTCTAATCTTCTTTATTTGGACTAACAAGCTTTCCGAACCACAACCTGTAAGTATGATTGATACGTTATGGGTATATTTTCAATTGAGTTCTCAAAATATCAAGTTTTTGTGCTAATATGTGATGTACACCTAGTGCAGCTTTAGGTTTCCAGGTAAAGCACGATATTACTGTCTTACTGAAGTAGTTCTGATAATTCGCTGTGAACCCACTATTTCCTAAGAATGTGTTGATTAATGTAGACTGAAGTTGTTCTAATTACTTCGTTTAATAATAAAGAATGTAGTGTAGCGCACAGACTTTATAATAATTGTGAAATTGCTGTTTATTTTGCTGCACCGGTGTTCTGACGATTTGTGCTACCCCATCAGATTTTGCTACTTCCCATTAAAACAGATGGTAGCATTATTTGATAGCGAAAAGTGCTACCTATCAGATTTTGCTTCCAGCATGATATTAATAAGGTGTGAGGCTTATTAACATGTACAACTGTTGCACATTCAGATCTGCATTACTATCTAGTGATAGTATTACCACTAGAGAGTGCTATTCCCGTCTAAAACCCTTCTACAACAATCCTGGCGCCGCCATCAAGTGAAATAATAACTAATAAAGCTACAGGAAGGTACACAATCTATAAATTTGAGCATACCCGCATTCCGGTGTTCTGACGATATGTGCTGCCCTGTCAGATTTTGCTGCCTCCCATTAAAACAGATGGTAGCATAATTCGATAGAGAAAACTGCTACCTATCAGATTTTGCTTCCAGCACGATATTAATAAGGTGTGAGGCTTTATTAACATACACCTACACCTACCCCAACCCTACCCTTACAGTAGGATAAATACAGTGTTGGTAGCATAATCTGATAGGTAGCATTATTTGTCAGAACACCGGCAGTTATAGGGTTAATGCGGGAGAGACGAGCGAATTAGTTAGGCTGCTGTGCCTGTGATACAGCTGTTCTGCGTTCTGATTAAAAGCTAAGACAGTGTCTTTTGTCTGTCGTTCTTCAAACATTACAGTAGACATATTTTGGTTTACAAACTGTATTGTTTCATCAGTTAGTCACGTTAGCACTCGGCTAACGTATCCACCATTATTGTTTTCTCTGTGCCAATCACAACAGGCTTGGCCAGCTGACCAATCAGAGCAGAGTAGGCTTATGGAAGGGAGGGGTTTGCTCCGAACTTGCTTGGAACGAATCGTTTCGAAATCATTGGCAAATGACTCTAATATTAAATGTATATTCTGAGAAAATTACAATGTTTTCTGACCTTAGATTCATTTAAACCTGTTGTAGAGGACTCCAACACAATATTAGGACACTTTAAAATACCATATGACCTGCTCTTTAAATTCCACCAAAAAATGTTAAATGAAGACATTTGCCTCATAAATGCAACATAAACGGGTTCAATACCTTGTGGCTCCTGTGCAACTACAGCATCTGGGGCATCGGCTTTCACCATATCTGCATTCAGACTCTCTGTGGAAAGATAAAGCACGTGATAATGAATGCATGGAAAAATACAAACAGTGTGGAACAATTAAAAAGAAAATGTATTTGTCTTTACGCTGTATGCTGAAGCACAACTTCTTCTTCTGGTAGGAGATGTAGCTGCTCACTGCACCGACCAGAGCCATAGCAACAGCGCTCACAATACCAGCAATGGTTCCAGTCTCAGCCATGGTGTCTATGAATGAACACATTGGCCACTAATAAAAGATTTAACTGTACCAAATCAGCAAAAGCTATACAGAATGTTCTTCTAATAGCCCTGAATACTATTTAACGCAATCATACCGTAGCTGTCATCAGCAGGATCCAAATCACTGCCACCGTTTCTGTCACTGCTTCCGCCACTACTTCCACCTCTTCCACCTGTAGAAATATGAACATTTCAAATGACACTCCTACTTTTATTTGACATGTCCCACAATGTGAGGATCTGTCAGGCAGTTTAAGTTTGTCACCTTTGCCTTTGTCAGGTTTGTAAGAGTTATCACTGCCCACATCCACAAGGTCATCGTCTGAGAATTGACTACCTGAGAATTTAGAAAAGACCATTAGCCTGGGGACAACATGAAAAGTACTAATGCATGGCTCGATCCTGGGTTTACTAATCCTATCAGCATTCAATCAGAGACCCATAGTGATCTAAACAAAGGTGAAGCTTTTGTGACCCCAAAAGAGGAAAAGTCCAGCACTCCAATACTGCAGGAAACAGAAAGCTGAGCTGCCAACTAGGGCTGGGCCAAAAAATTGTTTGATTTTCAAGATAAATAGAACTTTTTCTGTATTTATTTCTGCAAAAATTTTAATATATGATACTACTGCTTTTTATTTAAGGGGTCATATGATGCGATTTAAATTTTTCCTTTCTCTTTGGAGTGTTACAAGCTCTTGGTGCATAAAGAAGATCTGTAAAGTTGCAAAGACTAAAATCTCAAATCCAAAGAGATATTCTTTATAAAAGTTAAGGGTCAGCCACGCCTACCTAAAACGGCTCGTTCTAACACGCCCCCACATGTCTACGTCACGATGTGGGAAGATTTGCATAACGCCACCCAAATGTTCAGGCAAAGAAAGAAGGCGTAACTTTTATTCTCGCTGTAGTATTGTTGCCGCCGCTGCCATGTCGTGAAGACGCTGTGTGTTTCGTTGTGAAAGCGAAACTACTTTGTTTGGCCTTCCAAAAGAGAACGATATCTGCTTCGTCATGCCTAGAGCTGATCCGTGCTGGTCGCTGAGGGAATGCATCAACCCGAATGCACAGATCCAATACTGATACACATGTATTTTCTTTCTCAGATGTTTACATTTAGTTAAGACAAAACCGACTTTGCTTACGAGGATAATCGCCAGGACGGCCATTTTGACGTCATTTTTTGTGTGTATTTGGCCGCGTAAGCGCAACAAGCTGCGAAAAATAACTCAATTTGGTACTCGCGAGGCGGCGCGATATGCGCGCTATGGATGTGACTGTGAGCGCATAGGAAACCCCCTTTGGAGCACGTGAGTATCGAATGGCTTAAACTTAAAAATATGTGCAAATGATACAGTTTTGTGACGATGCAACAATGACTCGATTAGGCAAGTGACAATTCTGTCGACTGTCCCGAAACCCGAGCAAAAGTCTTGTATCGCAGCGTGCAGTAGTGCAGACGAGATGCGCTGTTGTGAAGCCGCTTTGAGAGTGAGAGAAGACGCGGTACAGCTGAATCACTCGCGCTGTTTTCAAATGACTGATTTAATCTGATAGTATGTGTGGATATGTTTGCAGGAACTTCCCTCATTATAAACTCGAAAGCAGATTAAACATAATTCTATTATACAGAGATTTAAGGAAAAAAATCCATGACTTTTCCAAAACTTTTCCAGGCCTGGAAATGGCATGACTGTAAGAAGATGCACGCTGTTGGAGCGAGAAGTAAGCTGGTCCTCCATTGCGCGAATGCTCCGTTACCTCTCCCTCCTCTAATCATGCCGGATCCTTCACCCCACTTTGTTCCGGGCCCTCGCAATTTACAAATTAAGCACTGCCGCTCACTCTAGCCGCCGGCCTCCGCTCACTCAAGCCCGCCGTGTGTGGCGCTGTGTGTTTCGTTGTGAAAGCGAAACTACTTTGTTTGGCCTTCCAAAAGAGGACACGTATGGAAGCCCGTTTCCGCCACTGAATAAAAAATAAACGAGGTAATTGCGACTTTTTATCTCACAATTCTGACTTTTTTTTCTCAGAATTGAGTGATACAAACTCACAATTCTGACTTTTTTTCTCAGAATTGCGTGATATAAACTTGCAATTGTGAGTTAAAAAGTCATAATTGAGAGATATAAACTCGCAATTCTGAGAAATAAAGTCAGAATTGTGTGATATAAACTCGCAATTGCGAGACAAAGTTGCAATTCTGAGAAATAAAGTCAGAACTGCAAGATATAAACTCACAATTCTGACATTTTTTCTCGCAATTCTGAGATATAAACTCGCAATTGCGAGAACATATCAGTCTTTCCCCCCCCCTCAAAATTGGACTTTAACTCGCAATTGTGAGTTTATATCACGCAATTCTGACTTTATAACTCGCAATTGCGAGTTTATATTTCACAATTGTGAGAAAAAAAGTCAGAATTGCGAGATATAAACTCGCAATTGTGAGAAAAAAAGTCAGAATTGCGAGATATAAACTCGCAATTGTGAGAAAAAAAGTCAGAATTGCGAGATAAAAAGTCGCAATTTCCCTTTTTTTTTTTTTTATTCAGTGGCGGAAACGGGCTTCCATAGGACACGACTAGAAATCAGGGGTTAAGTTGTATTTACAACACTGTTCCAGAACAGTTCAACCCTAATATTCAGATGTGTGCATTTTATGGAGGACCGTTTCCTGATCCTGGTAGAGTAGACTACAATGCCGGCTGTTCTGACTCACAGACTGTAAGTAAGTTTTTTATATATTTTTTACGTTTTGAGCAGTGTAGAGTAGCGCTTGTTGTTTGTCATTTCTCCGATCACAAATGCAGACATGGTTTTGTGTTTACGCGGTGTGATGCAACGCGTAAAAAGATAGTATAAGTCATTATAATCCGTAATTATGTCCCCACTGGATGCAACAAATGCCTCGTTTATAATGGGTTTTAATGTTTTTGTATAATCGCTCCGACCGGACAGGGCATCACAGTATGGTAGGGGCGTAACATTTCCGTCACACGCTTGAGGTATTCGGCCAATCACAACACACTGGATAGCTGGCCAATCACTGCACACCTCGCTTTTCAGAACGATGAGCTTTGTAAAAATCGACGTGTTTCAGAAAGGCGGGGCATAGAGGAGAAACAGTAATGTACAGTATGTGGAAAATAATGTGTTTTTTTAACCTTAAACCACATAAACACATTTCATTACACCAAATACACAAAATAATGTTCTTTTTAGCAACACCATATGACCCCTTTAAAGTAAATCCTATTATTATCAGTATTCTCCTCTAGATGGCACTCTCTTGTTTACCTTGCAACGCATTCGTCTAACACACTCTTAACTTGCAGTTCAATGCAGCTACTGTAAGGAGCGCGAGCGAACCGATTATCTCTTCCACTTTACTACAAGTTATAGCGCTAAATGAATACGAATTGACTTCAAAAGGTATGTTGAAAGACACAGTACAACTTACTGAAATGTATCATGTCTCAAGTAATTGCTCAGAGTTTCAAGATGTAATGTAAAACAGCTTGTAAACAATATGTCACCTAACATTTACCTCAGGAAAGTAATTTAATGTCCGTAACTTGTTATTTAGCAAGAAACAGCTCTAAAGAGAAGCGTTTTGATAAATATATGTACTATATTAATATTCATTATATTTTACTTATATAACACATTCCAAATATCGTAATTATGTAATGGATATTATGCTCTGGGCGTTTTTTTGTATTTTCGCATAAATTTGACATACTCAAATTCAAATGTTTACCCTACACGCATACAATGGAGGAAATTAAAAAAAATTGTTTCATTGTAAAGAAAACCCTTTGAACTACAAAATATGAGTGTAATTCTTTATAAATAACATTATATACTTTTCAAATATTACAATAAACACAAAAAAACATAGGCGCTTTTGGAGTTTTAAAATAAATAATTTTTTTTAAATTCTGTAATTCAGGTTCTATTAGGTCCAGCTCTCGCAATTTACTTTGTTTGATGCCACTAGATGCCAAAAAGTACCAGAAAAAAAGAATCTTTCAAATAACAGCTTCTAAACAGGAGTTATTACATTATAAGTGAAGCGAGTCAAATTGTCTATTTCTGCATCTAAATGTGTCATTGTGAGTTTCCTTTGCAAAAACAGGCTTTATAAAACACATTAACCCCACAATCCTATTTTACTCTGTGCCATAAGCACTTTAATTGATTATTAATTGAATTATGTTTCATTTTTATGTTTTTCTAAGTAGTAATATACAAAATGGCACAAGCGAATTGGACCAAATTTCACATATTGTGTATTCTACAATCAGTTTAATTCTTTCAGGATGCACAAGACTGTCTACATTATAAAATATATCTGGTCTATCACAATCTAAAATAGAATCCATATCCTCCAGCTTTATATAATTCCATTTATGTGCATTC